ATGACTCCCAATTGCCCATACTCCTCTCCTCAGGAGTCAGCTCTCCTTTTCCTAGTTGCAGGGAGAAGTATTTTTCCTAACCCTGCATGCCACTGGCATGATTTGAATATGATTCTGATTTACAAGATCCCAGAAGCCACACTTAAGAATCTTGCTTCCCAGCTTCTCACTCTTCCTTGCCATTTCCTGAGTTGATGTCATCCTTGTTCATTGTTTGCAACTGACCTGATGAGGCCCTTACTGGAAAACCCTGACAATTTCATTTTTAGAACATATGATTAAAATAATCTCCCTGAATATCTTAGCAAACCTACACACAGCCATTCTGTTGTCAAGGAGGGCTGCATTTCAATCCATTCCAGAGCTGCTTACTAGTGCTGCACTTTATCAGGGAACTTTCACATCAGTTACATTTTCTGTGATTCTCCAGCACCTACAAGTTAAACATATAATTCCGCTCTTGCTGGGATAGGTTTGATAAGAGCATGCTGAAAGTGCCTGATCAGTTCATTTGGCTCAAGGATTTTGTCTTTTCACTCTGCCAACTCAAACATCCAGTTAATCTGTTTGCATTTTGGGTGCTACACTGAAAAGCTGTGAGACAAGTGAATGATCTCTACCATATTAGCTCATAAGACAGCTAAGGAGTGGTGATAATATCCCAGCTGGAGCATTGCGTCCTGAATTAAAGGTTCCTTATCTTGGTTCTAACTGATAGAGGTCCTGTTTTGCTACAAGTTCAGTTTACATTCACCTGCCTCCCTAGATTTTCTATTGTCAACTGCCCTGGGACAGATTCTGACCCCAGACAGGGTCAAGGAACCTAGTGCTGAGATATCTGCACATCAGGACTAGTACCTCCAATACTTACAGCACCTCCATTACACCAAGCCCTGTCTCAGGGGATTTGCACAAATCATCTCTAATCCTTGAAGCAACATGCCTGGAAATGTGGGCATTATTGGCTACCCTCTGCCAAAAAGTAAAGTGAGGCCAGGAGAGACTAAATATCTTCCCCAGGGTGACACACACAAGTCCCACGGGCAGTCCTACCACACAAGTCTGGAGAGAGTTCAGGCCCCTGTGATGTCCACAAGGCTGGGCTGAGTGCCTGAGAGCATGGGACCTACTTCTCCCTCTTTGAGAAGGGTGTGCCTGGAGCCTGCAGCCAGCAGATGTGCTTTCCCATGGCAGATTCAGGAAATGGAGCCAACACTAGTTCCCAGGTTGTGGGCAGGGCTATGACTCAGCCTCCTCAAGAAGAAAGATGTGCTCAAGGAATGCTGACTGCACAGTGCCATAAGAGACAGCAGTGGACTGATTGTCCAAATGGGGAGAGTACAAGGGACAGAACAGGAACAAAATAAACTAGGTGCCTGTGGCTGTACTCAATGCCCAGGAATAGCTGAGCACATAATTGGCCAATCTAGCTTCAAGTGGGCTTGGTGGCATGTCTTTCAACCACCATCATCTTCTTCCAGTTTCTCCAAGAGGCCAGACTTCTGAGTGAGCAACAGATAGAAAACTGACCCCCATTTCCACTTCTACACTTGCCCCTAGCCAGCCAACACTGGTGTATCCTCACCTTTCCCATCCCATGAACAGCTTAGCTCCAGAATCCCCATAATCCTCCACCAGTAGTACTTATGTACCTGTGCCATTTTCACTCCACTCCCTCCCTTAAATAACCTTCTAGTCCTCGGCACAGTAGACATTACTGAATTTACAATACGAGGATGCTAAAGCCCAATTCTGCCACCTACACTTTGTATGACCTTGGGAATATCATTTCACCTCTCTAGGCTTTAGTTTCTTCTTTCATAAGTGGGGATAATAAAAGTATTTACCTGTTACAGGTGAACCGCCTTTTCCCAAATCCATATGTTGAAATCTAATCCCTTGTGGCCCAGAATTTGGGGGTAGGACTTTTAAAGTTGTAATTAAGTTAAAGAGGCTATAGAACAAGGCTTTAGTCCAGTATGACTAAGGAACAAGAGACACTAAGAGTTCAAAGCATGGGGGAAAGACCATGTGAGGGCACAGCAAGACAGCACTATCTGCCAACCAAGGAGGAAGGCCTCAGAGGAAACTAACCCTGCCATCATCTTGATCTTGGACTTCCAGCCTCCAGAATTGTGAGGCAACAAATTTCCCTTGTTTAAGCCACCCAGTGTTTGGTATTTTATTTTGCCAGCCCTAACAAAATAATGCACGGCTATATAGAATTGTTGCAAAGATCCCAGTAGACAAAGCAGTGAAATTGCACAATGAAGTTCCTGACTCCCAAGCATTTTATTCATTTTCCTACTTGTGACTATGCAGCCACTTTCAGTAATCACTCATTTGGTAAGTTCCAAAGATTACAAAGAGGTTAAGTCCTTGTTAGAACTAAGTAACTTCTTTGAGGGCTCAGGTTTTAGATTTCTTGCCTCTACCTCCAATCTACCCAAGTGCCTAATATGTAAGAGGTGCCTGAAAAAACACTTGTAGATTCAGTAGTCTTTCAATAAATATCTAGGGCACTAGAGCAATAAACAGAGTGGACACAGTCTCTACCCCCAGGGAGTTTAAAGTTTAGTAGGAAGGGATGAGATCCTGGTTGTGTAATATCACTGCCTTCAGTATTTTCCTTTGCATTCAACCAAGAAGCAAGTGAGCTAAGAATGGAGGTGCTATCATGTTTCCCTGAAAATAAGACCTAACCTGAAAAACATGTCAACCGCAACCCACCCATCCTTACCTTTCCTGCTATTACAGAGTAGCTATAGAGCAAGAAAATAGTGAAGTATAATCTTCTGCCTGACACTGCCCATCACCATGTTAACAATCATCGAGGGCTGTTTCATTAGGGAAAATTCAGGGAAACACAGTAGTTTGACTCCTTGATGCTTCCAGAGTAAGAGAAGATTCCACTTGGCACACACTGTGTGTCATAGTCTTCCCGTGCTAACCTACTCAGTGTTCATAACAGCCCAAGTTTATTAATGCAGTTTGGCAGATGAGAAGTAATTTCCTCAGGCTCACACAATGCACATTGATTAAGTCATGAGAGTGGAGCCCTCACAAATGGGATTAGCGCCTTTTGTAAAGGCAGAGAACTAGCTTGCTTTTCTTCTGCTATGTAAGGTTACAATGAGAAGATGGCAGTTTGTAACCCGGAGAGGACCCTCAACAGCGTTGTAGGGACCCTGATTTCAGACTCCTAGACTCCAAAATGATGAAAAATAAGTTTCTGTGATTTATAAGCCACCTAGACTATGACATTCATTACAGTAGCCCAAGCAGACAAAGACAGATCCTAGCTAAAGTCTCCCGCAGAAGGCATTGTCTCAAAATCCTTTTTGTATCTGGCCATAGCTTCCACTTAGTCAATTTAAATATTTGAACCTGTTTTTTCCATGTGTATTGTGGGTTTGTGAGAGGCCAGGCACAGTGCTAAGTGTCTTACACATGTAAAAGCTTCTGTCTGGGCCTAGAAGAGAGAGCTTAGACCCCAAAGCAGATTCCAGACCAACCAAATGTCCCAAAGAATAGTGGAGAAGCAGGGAGAGTGCCCTAGAGACCTGTCTTGCAGAGGAAGAGACAGGGTGCTGAAGAGAATGTGAGAAGGTTTGTAGAGAGAGCTGTTCTGGTGCTGTGATCCCCATGCCCTGGAAGGAGGAAGGATAGGTTCCTGCCTCTCACCTCCGAGGGAACAGGTGCAGTGGGTCCCTTGGAGAGCTTGGGATGCACCCCTGGTTACCTGAGGACAACAAGATGGGTGTCTGACTCCAGCCTAGAAAATCAATGTGAGCAGTGGGCTGGTTGGGGACCTGTGTCAAAGCAGAAGAAAGTAGCTTCTGCTTTGTAATTCCTGGAGCCAGTGAGGCCCAAGTGCTCCCAGTGGGCCAGTAGGGGCTTCCTGAGAGGACTGGCAGGGTTCATCCTAGGACCAATTCAAGAAGACAGACTGCAGAGGCAAACAAACTGCAACCCAGAGGAGCTGGGCTCTGTCCAGGAAGGAGCAGATCACTGCCACAGCAGGAATCATTCACCCTCACTGGCAAACCCACAGAGGGATTTCCCAAGAGACAGGGCCCAGGAAGCAGCCACCAGAGTGCTCCAAGGCCCGAAGAGCCCATGGCCCATTCCAGACAATACCTACATCAGGTATAACCCCCACCCTGCTCCTGCCCCTTTACCTTTCCTCCTGCCCCCTCCACTCTGAAGGAGGGAGGAACAGAAACTTCAGGTGGAGATAGGGGTAGAAGGAGGAGAAAAACAAAGCTGGAAAGAGAAAAATCAGCCACATTGCTTCCCAGTGGTGGCCTCCCAAGTGCCATCGCTCATTGCTCGTCTACACAACTGGAATTTGGGGGTGATCATTTGTGAAACAAAATTTTTTCATTTAACACAAATAATTCACCTCAGAAGAAACATCTTTCCTTTAAAGATAGAGCTTCTCTGGTGCATTTTAAATTGTTAGGTTTTGTGTATCTCTATCTTATCACCCCACTTGAAGAATGAGATTTTGGCAGCAGGTACAGTGCCTTACTCTCCTTTGGTCCCCTCCACGGGGCTTGATCACCAGAGACAGTCAAAGACTGGATGACTAATACAGGGACACGCCAACTGTACAAAGTGAGGTACAGCCGTAAGAAAGACCAACCCTCTGCATTTACAGATTGCTCCAGCTGAACAAATAGACAAATCATCCCAGCCTTTTCTCTCCCTGCATTTTCAAGCAGTAGGTGGTACAAATAAAAATACCACCTGGCCTTTGTATAGCACTTTACAGTTTCAAAGCAACTCTCATAACCCAAAGCCACTCTCCACCCACCACGTTCAGCCCCAGACCATTCACATTCCAATTCCACCCACACTCTTGCTTTTCCTGGTGGCCAGCCCTGTGCCACGTTCTGCAGGGTAAGGCCACATGTTTCTCCTTGGCTCCACGTGTCCTGAGAAGAGTTTCCTCATAGAGTCAGCCGGCCAGAAAAGTGGGCAGAGAGCAAAGGGCAGCTTGTTCAGGTTCTGTTTATTATGTTCTCACAGCCTTGTTTATAGTAAAGGTGAATGACATTATTCCACTTTACATGGTAATGAAACAACTCAGTGAGGACTCTGTCAGCCAAGCGGTTTATATGGCAGATGAGCTGCTACAAATCTGTTGTGCTGGCATGTGACTCACTTAATGCTACCGTGGTGGAGTGGCACTCAGTGCCAGCCACCTTTTCCATGCCTGGCAGAAGAGAGGGAGCAGAAGGACTGAAAAGGAGGAAAAATCAAGAAAGGAACAGTTTATTGGGGGGACTTGGACCCCAATCCCAGGAAGGCCAGTGACTACAGCTTGAAGTCTCCCGTCCTGGCCACCAGCATCTCATGGAGTCCTGAAACAACACAGGGACAGGAAGACATCTTTGTTCATGGCTTCTCCCTGTACAGTCTCATGCTCAGTGGCATGGCAGCACATACTCTCAGTGACACCTTGTGTTTTAACTCAGAAAGATACAGACTTAAAGGGGGCTAACACTTGGCAGATTGCAGGTAAGAATGAGAAGCCACAGCTCCTCTGCCTAGCTTGGATGTGGACACACACAGGGTAGGTAGAGTTTTGAGCACTCTTGGTGGTAGGAGATCATCCTGTCTCTGAATGTGCCTCTCCTCACCTTTTCCTCTGGGATGCAGAGGAACAGACATCATCACGACAGCTTGTCTTTTCTGCCCAGATCCTTTCTCACAGCCTTCCACATTCACACCCTCCCCCATCTCTCAGCACAATAGGCTCATTATTTTCTCACAGCAGAGCCACCCTCTCCACTGACCAGGGCCTGGGGTATCAGAACACCCCAGCCTGGCCAAGGAGAAGTGTCCAGGGCCCATGCCCAGAGGCTGGCCCCGCAGCCTGGGCAGAAAGCCTCTTCATAGCTTTCAGAGGAGCAAGATCTGGTGAGAGCACCATTGAGTAAAACCAATTGGAAACTTTCTGGCTGCCTATCCAACCTAGGACCAAAAAGGGAATGAGGAGGGCTTGGAGCCAGTACCAAACCTTATGATGGCTTTGGAAAATCCTCCCAGATCTTGATATTCCCCAGAATGCACCACCCTCTGCTGAGAAATGTAAAAGTTGCTGTGTTACTATTTTCACTACCATGATATGCTTCACTCACTACCTGAGTTCCAACTCTCTTGTTACATGGCCTTCGGTACAGAGGCACATCCTGACACAAAAAGACCAAAAACAAAAGCACATCTAAACAGACAAAGGAGATCTGACCCATCAGGCAAGCCTGAGGGAAGCACTGTTCACGGGACTCAGAAAGCATGGCAAAGCATCTCTTGACCTGCTGCTCTCTCTTGGTCTGCCTGCTGCTAGACAACGCATGTGGCCTGGACCCAACCCTTCGATTTCAAAGAAGCAAGTCAGACTGAGAGGCTGGAGAGCCTGCTCCCTCGAGAGTAAGAGTCCAGCTCCAGAGCTGGCAAATTTCCTGGTTGTGCTTTCTGCATCTGGGTCAGCTCTCACCCTCCCACCCTGCAGCTGTGTTTTGCCCTTAGCCTGCTCCTTCTCAGTCCCTAGGCTGGTGCTTCCACTCCTTACTTGTACACTGGCACCCCCTGCAGAGCTTGAAAGCTTACTGCCACCCACATCCCACCACAGCGCTCTGATTCAGCTGATCTGAGGTAGGACCTGGACAATTTGGTTTGTAGGTGAGTCAAATGCATAGACAAGGTTGAGAGCCACTGTCTTAAACCATCTTTGTTCGAAGTCCATATGTCACTACACACCCAGGAGCTTATGAAAAATACAGATTCCTGCCCCCCCACCCAGATCTATTGGCTCAGCATGTCTAGGTGTGGGCCCTGGGTAACATTTATTAGCATTTGTAACAGGCTTTTGGGGTGACCCCAGTGCACGTACAAGTTTACTAAAAGGCAGCCCCAGATTATCCTTCTCTACCCCAGAGGTGCCCTGGGCTGTGAATGTTTGTCAATAATTGTTCTACTCAGTCCAGCAAAGGCAACAGCAAATCTCACACCATCTCCCAAGCAGCTTAGCACTCCAGTGGAACCAAAAAGCCACTCAGAGATGGAGAGAGGAATTCAAAACCACAGCTCTGCTGGCCCACTGCCTGGGCTTGCCTTGAGCCCAGAGCAGGCCAAGCATGAGGAGCAAAGGAAGATGGTTCTTGGAAGCAGGTCCAGTAAGGTGGATGAGGCTTGTGAGGGGAAAAAGGGGGGATGTGGGGCAGGACCCACAGACATGGAAGGTCAGGGATGAGGTATGTTTGGATATTGCTCTAGATGTTGTAAACATTTCTCTTTGTTTCATCATAGACCAAAATCTAGGTTGGCATGGCCAAAGTGCCTAAAAGTAGGCATCAGAGCAGGGAATTCTGCGCCTTCTGTGGGAAGCAGGGTATACAGCATGGGAGAAAAGCCACTCCCGCAAGAAGATCATATCTGGAGTGTACTAGTCCAGTGCTCATAGTTGTCACACACACAGACACACACAGATGCTCCACAGGAGTACCATAAATACAGCTACCATGTTCTTCTATACATAGACTCATGCCCTTGTCTAGCTACAAAATTCAGAATACTGAAGCTTGGTCCTTCATACTTCCCGTTGTGGGAGGGAGTCACAAAGACGCAATGACACCACCATCAACAGCCTTCATTCCACCAATAGTCGAAGAAAACTCTAGGCCCCAAATGAAATCTCACACAACACTCTTGTTCCAGTCTTCCTCCTTGGAAGTGGAAGTGATGAAAAGACCCTTCCCAGAACATAACTCTGAAGTTCCAATTTATATGCACCTCATTTTCAACAGTAGAATTGGCAGCAGATGCACATTTTGTATGTAAACAATGTTTAAAATACCCTGTTAGATAATTTAATCATTAAATTAATTCTGGCAGCATTAGCTAAAATTGGTGGTGGGGGGGTGTTTTTGGGGGGGTTTCTTACTGGGGTAAGAAGATACCATCTGCCCTAACTAGGAACACTGTTTGAGGCTTTGGAGTTCTTATGCATGAACTCCCACGGGTTTGTTCAGTGTTGACCCAGGCAGCAGGTATTTCTTTCTTTTAGAAGTTCACACAGACATGCCAACCCTCACTCACAAATGACAATGGTCAATTCAGGGTAATAGGCACTAACACTAGTAGGATTCAAGGGCCTTCTTGGCCTTGTCTGGCTATGGCCAAGGAAGAAAGCGATTCTCAAAGTTATAGGACAGGAGTGTAAATGTAGGGACTCTGGCATAAACTAAAGATGCCCAGCACCCCACCATCGCCCACACTCCAGGGCCTTTGCCTAATCTTGTGCTGCTTCATTCTGTCATTCTGTCTGTAGGTTTATAGGTCTGCAATGAATCTAAATCCATTGGGAAGAAATTCCCAGTAATAGCTTCATCACATTCTTTGTTATCCATGTCCCCTGGAGACCAGCACGTTCCAGGCTCCTCTTCCACTTCCGGCCCTCTGCTGAGGATTCATCCCCTCCACACTGCTTTTGTGGCAAAGTCAGTTTTTTCCTGTGCAGCTAGAGGAGGTTCTGTGCTGTTCATCATTCATCCTCCAAGGAAGTTTCCTGACATTTCCAACAGTGGCTGCAGGATACCATGAAAGCATTTTAGGATGGTATCTATCCATAGCTAAATGTTCACAGTGATCTTCTCATCGACACCTGCATATTTTATGTTCCATCCCAAAGGCCAACAATTGAGAAGGATACTGGTTCTTAATAGCCAAGAGGGACCTTTCTAAGAGCAAGCTCCCAGGAAGCAAGCTGTAAAGAACATCGGCCTGGCTCCCTATTCTCCCCCATCATAATTACATGGCCTGCATGGAATGGGGGAGATGGGCAGACATGGAAAGTAATAGGCACTGGGAGAGCCATCATGCTATGGGAATTTACCTCCCTTGGCCAAGCTGTCTGTCTTCCTAAGAGATATGTGATATCACAGGGAGGCAAGGGTAGAAAATACATTAAGCAACAGACAGGTTATACGGAGCCCCATTACACAAAAATCTACTGGTGCTACATTCCCTGGTCATTTGGAAAACTTTTAGAAAAGTTCTTGGTAGAATTGAGGAATGTTTGCAAGCTGTATCTTTCTTAATGACAGTTCCACTCAAAAGTCATGAAAGAAATCTCGCAAGACTCTTTCTGGAAATGCAAGGGTAAAGAAGTCCTATAAATTTCCTAGGCCAAGATGGGCAATAGTCGCAGATTCTCACACTGGTCAGGGGAAATTGAAGAAATAAAGAAACAGCTAACTCTGTGAAGTTTGATCTGCCTCAGAGGACACCTACCAATGATGCTAGAAACTTGGGATTCCATATGACAAAACCAGAAGGCTGGGATTCCACAGAGACCTCTCTCCTTAACTTTGAGGTCCTGGTACCTGGGGCTGGTGTCTATATTGTAACAGTGAATATAAAGTCAGAGCAGGAATCTTCCAGCTGCTTCTCCCAGGGGTAAAGAGAAGACTCAAGAATCCTAATGGGGGTGGGGGTGGGGGTGGGGGTGGGAACTGCATTTGCATTATTTACAGATTAGCCTAGCACAGCAAATCTGCCTTCTCATTGGAGATGACTGAGACATTATGAAGGTCAAGTTGTTGACCCAGAGAAGGGTGACAGCAGCAAGGTGCTACCACTAATTTAAACACAAATACGGGTAAATGGAAGACAGTCCAAGCTCTGGCAGCTGGGTTACTCTTTGGAATGACCTTTCATTCTCTTCTTGCCCCCTGCCTCCTACCCCAAATGCCACCACCTTTGAACACCTATGAGATTTCACATTAGAATATGGTCTTGGCAGCAGGGGAGGGGAAAGCCGATGATTTCCAAGAGTCCCCATCTGAGGTTTAACTGAGCCTCCTCTGGCTTTGGGAGAGCAAATCTAAGTACATTTTGGACCTCAGGAACCTGGGGTAAGAGTCTTTCTCCATGAGACTGTGTACTTTTCCCTGGGCTTGGTCAAAGCAAGTCAGGGATGGTTCCTGTATATTCTTTCTTGTAGCTTCTCGGGTCTGGAAATCAATGTTTACCTGGAGACACAAACAGAGAACAAGGTTACAGATCCTCAAGGACCAAAGCACCTGGCATCTGGCTCTAGCTACATAATAATCATTAATAACAACATCTTCTATCTTTAAGGTGATGTGGGCATTTCAAAGTGCTTTCATGAAGCTCATCTCTTGAGATCACAGCAAGAATCTTGTGAGGACTAAAGACTAAGTATTCTTAGTTTAGATTTATAAATAAGGACACTGAAGAAAGCTATAATGCTGGTCTAAAGTAGTATGGGAAGTTAGTAGCAGAAAGAAGGCAAAAATTCCTAAGTCAACTGACTCCTAATCCAAGGCCCTTCACATCAGGCAAAGGGTTACACCCAAGTCAAGTGTTAATACAAGTGCCCTAATATAAACCTTCTCCCTTGTCCTTTCATAACTACTAAAGAAACAGATGCTCTCTGAAATGAACAGGCACTTCTCAGACAAAGAAGTAAAAGCAGCAAATAAACATATGAAAAAAGGTTCAACATCACTCATCATTCGAGAGCTGTAGATGAAAACAACACTGAGATTCCACCTCACCCCAGAAAGAATGGCTGCTATCAAGAAATCAACCAATAACAAATGGTGGCGGGGGTGTGGGGAGAAAGGAACACTTCTCCATTGTTGGTGGGAGTGCAGACTGGTGCAACCACTGTGGAAATCAGTATGGAGATACCTCAAAGAACTAGGGCTAGAGGTCCCATTTGACCCAGCTATCCCCCTGCTGGGTATCTTCCCAAAAGAATTAAAAGAATCATACCACAGAGATATATGGCACCCATGTTCATAGCAGCATAGTTTGTAATATCTAAAGCTTGGAAAGAGCCCAAGTGCCCATCGCCTGGAAACTGGACAAAGAAGATGTGGGTTTTTTATAAAATGGAGTACTACTCAGCCATAAAGAATGAGAAACTAGAGACATTTATAGCTGAATGGATGCATATTGAGCCCATACTCTTAAGTGAAATAAATAGGATAAACGTGTAAATACAGAATAGTTTCTCTAGTGTGAGAAACTGAAAGTGTAAATAAGGATTAAAATGATTGAAATGAATAATTGATAATTTGAAATAGGAAGAAAAGGTCCAAAGAGGTAGGGGAAATGGGAGGGGAAGGGGAAGGGGAAAGGAAAGAAGGGAAAGGACAAATTATGAGAAAAGGAAAAAATGGAAACAAAGTCTTTGTAAATAGGGAAGGGTGGAAGAGGTGAAGGGGGCACAGGGAATGGGGGAAAAAAAAGAACCAAGATGCATTATGTACAGGTACAAGCACCCAATGATAAATGTAAATGTATTGTATACCTAAAATGTACCAATAAAAGAATTTAAGCAAAAAAAAGAAAAATAAAGAAACAGATGCTCTATATAGAGAGATCATGGTTAGAATGTAATTTGTATTCAAACTAGCATTATAAGGGGCTTATAGAATCCTATTCCACTGGCAAGGAGTTTATGCACACCAAGTCAAACTATAATTGAAGACTTGTAGACATATAGTACGTCTGAACTCATATACAGCAAATATTTTTCTTCAATTGAATCCTCCCAACTGAAATTCTATACTATCATTCACAATAACAATACATAGAAATTCATATTACCATACATATTTAAAATAAAATAGTATAAATAACTATAAATACTCATTAATGAACAGTGGCAAATATTGAACAGGTAACTTGTCTCTAACTCTCAGAGTAGTCTTGAAAGGTAGGTGATATTATTCCCTTTTACATTGGGGTAAATGAGATTTAGAAAGGTTGAGTAACTTGACCATCATCACACAGCTAGATAAGAAGGAGATAAGACTGGAACAAAATCCCAAAGAAGATACTTATTCCATTAAACTGTGCTAACCTTTCCTAGGAAAATAAACATGGACTCAAGGGTATCTACTCTCACAAAACCCCTGTAGCAACGCAGTTCCTGCCAGCTTGTGTTTGACAGTGAAGATACTTCTACTATAACTCCTTTGATAGATGTTCTGAGCTTCCAGTCCTTAACGATAATTCCTTTTGGGCTGGGGATGTACAGAGTGGTAGACCATTTGCCTAACATACACAAGGCCCTGAGTTTGGTCACCAACACCACAAAATAATAATAATAATAATAATAATCCATTAAGAGTCACAGAATGGTGCAGCTTAGCTCAGTAGAAGAAAGTCTCCAGCAAGCCCAGCTCAAACTCCTCTAAAGAAGGAGATGAGAGCCAACAACCACAGATCAAGGTCTTGCAAGATGGCAGCAGTGGCCAACACACCTCCCGTGGAGCCTGCACATCCACAAATTCCTCAAAGATCCTGTGGGCCTTGGAGACTAGCTTCGCTGTTGACCTGGTCTTTTTGAACTCTTCACAGGCCAGCCAGAATTCCAGGTTCTCCTCACTGAACTCCGTCTTCAGGAAGGCGCGGAAGGCAGCCACTCCATCTGTGGATGTGGAGGGAAAAGAAGAAAGATAAGAAGAAGCTAAAGTTCAAAGACCACAGAAGAAAAAGATGGTAATATAATGTGAGGGTCCTCAACTGTCCAGGCCCACTGCTCCTCCACATCCCCTTGAAAACTCTACTCCCTTAGGCCTAAACACACTCAGAGCAAGATATACCTCTTATTCAAGGATCAGAGTATTACTAGGGAGAAAAGTTTTTTTAAAGCCATAGTTAAAACAAATATGAGTAAGCCTGCTCACTTCTAATCATCTCTCAGTGCTTACTGCCTGTCTCCTCATGAAGAGACTGCTGTCCCTAGGGGCTTCTGCAGAGGCTGTGTTGCTAATTTGGCCAAGGTAATGCAGGTAATCCATTCTCTACCCCAATGCAAGCCAACACTGTAAGAAAACACACAAACTAGAACAAGCTAGACAAACTAGAGGGAAATGTGAATATCTCAAGGCTGATCCTTTACTGCTCCCTTAAAGTAAATACAGAAAGTCAGTCCATAATAGCATTCTGTCACATGGACAGTATTTCCAGGATCTTGGAGAAAAGCTTTGAAGCCCTGTATTTTGATGTTCTATTCCGTGCAGTCTTTAATATTTTTGGCTATTGAATTATATGTTTTAATTGAGATTGACTATAATTTTTCTACCACATAATTTAACAGTTAATAAACCCTTTCATCCTTGTAAATCAATGTCATATGTATTGTCAAGCAGAGATTAGCACAAGATGATCAGGGTTACCACATCAAATCAGCAGGGGAAATAATATTTATTTATAGCTTGCATCTCCGGTTAATGCTTTTATTTTAAACAGATTTGAATAAGGCATTTTAACCCTTAAAGTGCTCTCCTTTAATCAAATAACTACTACCTATGTAGGCTTCTACAAACTGTCCTCAGAAGAAGGGCAGATACATCCTAAAACAAAAAGTGCTGCCTTGGTGAAAAATGACTCTAGTAATCATTTTAATTTCTTTTCTAAAAAGTCACAAGGAGGACAGAATGCTAACAATTTTTAAATCTAGATGATGGTAGAATTGAACAACTGATGTCTACCAATATGCACCAGGACAGCATCCTGGCCAGGATCATTCAATAACTTGCTGGTGCCATGCTGTTTTGAGGTGTTGTATTTTGCTATTTTGAAACATTTTCATTTCTACTAGTGAAAAGCCATTGTACATCTTTGTCTCTCAAAATAGATATTTTAATGTCCACAATTACAACAATAATCATAAAAGCCAAGACCTTTCATTGCAAGAGCCAGAGATTTTCATGGGGCTCCCAAAGCTAAGCTTTAAATCACAAGAAGATTTAACTTTGGAGAGATGAGCTTAAAGTGTATTAAGAAAAGTAGAATGACTGTGTAATTTACCATCCAAACCAGGACATTTCTGAGCATGAAGGGTGTGCCACTGTTAATTACATGGGAATGATCAGCATAAGCCATGACTGCCACAGGCAACACCCAGGACACACAATCTTCCAACTCTGAGCCATGGAGTGTGGAGAAAGCAGAACATGTTAAGCCATTTCCCATCAGACATGATGGAAATAAAATTATTCCTGTGCCAAGAGGAAGAGAAAAGTAACATGGTTTCAAATCAAATGAGATGTCTACTTAGGGTACCTCCATCCCCATTCCTATATCAAGGCCAAAGTTCTAGGAGAAGACAGTATGAATTCACAATAAATTGGGAAACAAAGTGAGCATAAAATAAGGATATGACAATGTTAAGGCAGAAATGGTCTGAGAATCATTTATTCATTTTAACTATGATTTTTAAATTACTAATCTTCAAAGTATTTTTTTAATGCTGGGAGACATAAGAGAAGAAATCCTATTGTTGCTGCCCATTAAGTCCCTTATGGGTACTCACTTTGGCAGCCTTCCAATGCCCTATGGCCTCAGGATGCCTATGGAGAAGATCCAGAAGTTTCCATGGGCTCCAGAGTTAAACTTGCATTTAAGAGCAAGCACACCTGGTAGGAGATGGCTGGTGCTTGCAGAAGGAGCTCCAGGCAGAGGGTGGATGGAAAAATATTGGAGCTGGAGATACCTTCAACCAGACTCAGTGCCCTTGAGAACCAAGAAGGGGCTGGTTCCACAAGAGAGGACTCAGCAGTGTCCAGCAGTAGGCCCAAGGTGGACCTGAGGCCCACAGGCCAAAAGTCATCCCAAATAACTCCATCTTTTTTATTTTTTTAAATTTTATTTTATTGGTACATTTTAGGTATATAATATAATGACATTCATCATTGGAAATTTGCACCTTTACATAATCTCTCTTGGTTCTTATTTTTCACCCTTCCCCTGCC